TTAGAATTCCACTCTCTCTCTCTTTCTTCAGGGTTCACTCTTCAGTCTTTTAGATCCCGGGATAGACCTCACTAAAGTTTCAAAAGTTGCAAAAAGGTACGCAACCTGCCGTAATACGACCCATAAAGAAGTGCCCCGAAACCAGGCAAATAAAGCGGCAAATAAAGCAAAGAAGCAAAATACCTCAAAACAGCTAGGGTCCAAAGAAGCAAGCTTAGCAACTCGCTTTTTAGCAGCGCCTTTCCTTCCCCCAAGCAGCCACTTCGAAACTATTTCACTAATCCGTTCAATGACTACAAGATTCTCCTAAAGGCAAAGAAAAAAAATTCTCGATTTTGTGAAATAAATGTACTCCATTCCATAGAACTTCAAACACTTACGCTTTTCCCCTTCAAACGTCTGAAAGAGGCACAAAGATACGGACCACCCACCGCCAACTGTAAAATACGATTTTAAGTGGTACAAAGTATTGTAAGATGTCAAGCCTAACAAGCATAAAAAATCCATTTCTTCATCAGGAGGCTTACAAATGTAAATAAATAAACTTCTGCCTTAAATATATGCTAAAATGCGATCCCAAAATAAATCGCAAAAAAATGTTCTTTAGCCTTCAAAAACAATTTATTAAAAGTTTTCCCTTCCCCATATCAAAGAATAAAAGAAAAAATCAAAAATATCGAAGTTTTACAATTAAATGTAACACATTGCTGAGGGAAAAATGACTCACTTTTTTAATTAAAGTTTCAGCCTCAGAAAGTCTGTTAGCAACAACAAGCTCAACGAAAAGATCAGCAAGTGCCGAGTAAGAATGGCCATATTTTAAAGACTGGTCCAACAGAATACCTAAAATAAAAAGCACTAATGAATGCTACAAAACCCAAGTTCAATAAATATGCATAAAATATCATAATGTAATAAAACCAGCATTTGGAAATGAGCCACCTAAATATTTTTTTTGACCCTTTGTATCCATATTGTTTAAAACGTCCCTTATAAGAAGATGTAGCCCGGTTGAATTCCTACAGTTTTCTGCGTTTTTGCACCAAAGTTGATATGCCGACTCAAAACCAAATCTGCAGATGGGATTTTTAACATTATGCCATGAATACACTTCTCATAACTGCAGCACAAGAAACACATTTGAAAATGTAGCTAAAACGTTCAGGAAAAACCTTTTTAATTCCTCTTCAAGACAGAGACTAAAGACTTCATCATTCCGCTCCAAATAACCCAATTCAACTAGAAGATCAATAAAACGCAAAGTACTTTTAGGATCAGAATATTTTATAGAAGTAATGAATAATTTGCTATAAATAGGAATTAAGTCCTTCTTTTTGCGTTCTACTGGGGGCCTGACTAGAAATAAATCACGATGATGCTTGGCATAAGTCGAAGCAGACTGTAAATCCTGCTCGCGAATTATCCTTTCTAGTAGTAAAAGAGTCACTGAATCAGCAATATATGCTCGATTATCAGTCGCGGCAAAATCCCACATGAGCTGCTTTACTTCATCGACATCAGAAGCAGAGTCAACGAAAAGGCAGAAGAGTTTACTGACAAACGGCCTCAGAAAACGAATGTTCGGCCACCGGAACTCATTCAGTAGTGCCCTTAACCCTTCTATATCCTTGAAAAACATTACATAATAGAAACTTCTTGTCTCAAAAATGAAAAATCAGTAAAATATGGAAATTTTTTTGCCTTTTTCTCAACCATTCGAGAAAGTGTTTCAACAGAAGCAACTTGGGCGCGAACATCGAGTGGATCGAATCGATCTCTTCTTACCACAGTTTCAATTTTTGAGGGTTCTAACGGCTTCCTTTTTACATGAGACTGTTCTGTTGCATTACTTTTGTTGACTACACTGAGATTCATTGCTAAAGAGTCATTTTCTACTCCCGAAACTTCAGGTGCCTCTGTACGTTCATAGGCAGTGCTACCAGAAATAACGTTGGTCATTCGTCTTTCAACCTAAACTAAAAACGTTTGAAACAGAAAAGAAGAATTAAAAGATAAAGCAACAGAATTGCTTCATATCCTCAAGATATGAGTATTTCTTGAAGATTTACATAGTGGTTTGAGATTTGTTTCCACAACGACGATTTCCAACATTTATGGGAGCCGCTCGTCTAAAAAAGCAGCATGAAAAACACCACAGTGCGATCATCTTTAAAGGGTTACACTAAAAACTGAATTCATAGCTCTCAAGCAAAACAGCAACGAGCTTCACCAAACTTTTAAAAAATGATAAGACAACCTAACTTCCCGCTTTTAAAAAACTCAAGATTCCAAGGGAATTATGGTACATACTATGTGTCTTTGCCTAATGTCGAAATGCCTGGAAAACGTAGTTTTCTTTCTGAATCTCAGTGACGTCGCTTTCCTCCGGTCTCTAAATTACAAATTATCAATTACGATTGCTATTACTCAACGCCTCCCGGACAGGCAAAGTCTCTTCAAACAAATAAAGCCCATGAAGATTTCAAATTTTCCCACCTCTCACCAACACACTTTTCCGGCTTAGTAAACCACTGAGAAAAGCAAAAATCGGATTGTTCCAAGATCGCCTTGAAGGAACTGAATGACGAGTCAGATGAATTCAAATTCTCATCCAGATTTTCGGCGTAGGCATGGGCAGGAAGAACTAAATTACTGAAGTCTGCGAACGACGAGCTGGCAGGCACATAATCCCGTTCTGAAAATCAAAAAACAGCTCCTAATACACTTAAAAACTCTCATTTCATACAACCAAAAGAATTAATAAGACAAAACAATTATATTCAGAAGTAAAATGTACCCTCCACTGAGCCAGCAGACAATGAGCCAAACTGATCCACTGACACCAACCTAAATATGGGAAAATGACGAATTAAACAGGGTTATATAGTGCTGCAGCAATCTTTTCAATAAGTATTTGTCTACAAAATCTAGCATTTAGAAATTTCTCAGTAAGACAGAATGCCTTTGGATTTCTGGATTTTTCGGTGCAACTTCTGGGTCTTCCGAAGATGAACTGCTTTCGAACTTAAACTTTGGTGTAAGTGAACTGATTTCATCAGACGATGCGGCTAATTCCCACTTCTCGACAATTTTTCCTAAAAACAAATTTAGATCACGTATGCTATGCCACGGTTTCGAAACACCATTATTAACAGCAGTAAGTATGTCAACGATCTATCTTTTCCATTTTATAAATTAAGTGATCCTTGACAGTATGTGCAAACATCTTTGAAAAATACATTAACCAAAAAGAGGGACAGAATCAAAAATGAAAAAAAAAAAAAGAAAACGACAAAATACCACTATCAAAATTATCCAGATGAACGTTTTGCTGTTTCACCCAAATACTGAACACTACCCGGTTTGTAAACAGCCCCGGTCTAAAAATTAAAATTTCAGGAAATATTAAGTAGAAAGTTTCAGAAGCAACTGTACCACTTTATATACCTTAAGCCCACTGTGATTGGAATTATACGCCACATGCTTTACGAAATTCCCGTACCATCACATCAAGAATGAAGCAGGTCTCAGCAATGAAGTAAGAGTAAAAAATCAACATAGGCCTGCATCTGAAAATAAATATCAATCAGCCATAGGCTGCAGGTACAGAAATACTCGTTGACGCCGTCTAATCCAGAACTTTTATCTTATAAAACCAAGAACGCCATATAATGGTGCATGTAAGAGAAACCAAAAAGCTCGATCTCATCAGAGTACTATTCTAATCATCAGGCAGCTTACCTAAAAGCTGTAAAAAATCGCATTTCATACCTTCAGGTTTTTGCACGTTAGAGGTTGCGATGTTGGCAAAATATCAAAAACACCCATTCAACTTTCCACTCCAACTGCTCACTGCACACCCACTAAATGTCACAGTGCTAACCTAAGTACGTTTATAAACTTATCGTTCGGTAATTTCCCTGCTCACATCTGTAAACAGACTGATACATTCTTGGTGCTTATTCCTCCTTACTTCGTTCTTCGCAATTCGTTTAGCCTTCTCACAACCAAGGGAGAGTGAGACACAACTGAGGGCGATTGTAAAAAATTACGACTGCAAGTTCACCATCACGCAATAATTATGGCGCAGTCGGAGAACTTGAACGTTCACGTTTAGATGCAGGTAATAAATGTGCTATCAAGCACTAGAAAATCACGATATTAACTGGAGAATGTTAAAAGCTCTTCATTTTTTCCTCCCTTCCCGTTTTCACGTCACTATTTTTGCATCAGAAAATCTATTAGCACCAGAATTCAACACAGGAAGGTAGGAACTCCAATACTCACTTTTTAGGATCATGGATACAAACTCTTTACTTTTCAGAAGATGAGTAGTTGCTTTCAAAAACTAGAGTACTAAAAAGAGAAGCTTTTTATTTATTTTTATAAAGTAAGCAGTAGAACAGACAACATGAACGTTGACAGGGGGTAATTTAACAGCATGAAAAAAGTGCGTATCAACAAGTCTGCGACATAACCTAAACCTTACCAAAACGAATGCCACCACGGAAAGCATCTTTCATAGTTAACAAATAAAGGAACGATACGAGCACCATCAACAAAGTAAAGATTTCAAAAAACGGTAAGGCTTTCCAGTACCAGTTCATCACCCGTTAAAACAGTACTTAAAACAGTACAACTTCTCCGTCTACTGGGGCACTTTGTAAGACAGTCAAACCCGATATGTGAGAAACATTTTAACATTGAGATTGACATTTAAAAGCGCACTTTGTCTATTAAGAAAGTAAAATACTAATGATTATAACCAACGTTCAACAAATTGCTGTTGTTAGTCTGTAAAGGTAATAGTTAAAAAACCATATGACAAACAAGTACTAGAATTTAAGATCATACTAGTAAACTTTCACCTTTATAACTTTCGGTGCCGGAAGCATTTGGGAAAACTATCAATCTTCCCTTTGAAATAAATAAACATCTGCAAAACCAACATATAAAACCGAACAAAAGAAATACACTAACTAAAGATTCACACGAAGTATTCAAGCGGCTAGCTGCAACCCTCGGTTTTGACGAATCACGCGGGTTATGTATAGGTAAAAGAAGTCTGCATAAAGAACAGTCTGCATAATGCCGGCAATGACCGCGATTGGATCGAAGAAACCTTCCGTGTAGTAACGATATATCCAATTGAGGATATAAAGAGCTCTAAAAAAACAATGAAAGCGCTACAAAAATCGACAAAATTTTTAAAGGTAAAAAAGTCATGACAAGCTGTTGCTTATTCTCTGCAAGAAACTGGTCCTTTCCAAGTAGCGTACCGATACGATCCTAAAGCAAACAAGTAGTGGGCCGTTATAGTTTCCGCACTACCAGTTCTCGATAGCATGAATAACTGTGGCATAATAGCAACTGATTCCAAATAAATTGAAAACGTCCACATAACCTAAGATGATAAATTATTACAACTCAAAAAAACGTTATTTTCTTCAGATACAAGAATTTGATACCAGAATAAACTAAGTTTATTTTCTGCGCCTAAAAAGAACAACTGTATGGAAGTGAAAAGTGAAAGTTCTCAACCTCCAAAAATGTAAATTCATGGTTCACTAACAACGCAAGAACTATGCTCGGCAATATTAGAAATTCAATGCGAAATGTATCATGATTCCTGTCGTACGTCGCCCTGAACTTGTACCACATCAAATACAATGTTCCGTAGGACGATACTAAGAAAAAAACCTGAAAACAACAAAATGCGTAAAACAAAACAAAGCACTCACTAGATTTTATCGCCACTACGAACTAAATTTTGAGAAAATGGCCATTATATTCAGCAAAAAATTAATGAAACCGATTAGTGGTGCTCTCATAAAAATCGCAAAGCTTCTTGACTTACCTTCATAGCAGAATTATAGAGTGATATGAAATTTGTAAACAGATCAAGATAACGACAACTGAATACCAGTGCAAACAATAACTGGGATCGCCCAGATATACCAGCAACGGAACGGGTTTTCCACATCTTAGTAGCAAGAATAAAAATTGCTACTAAGTGAGCCAAATCAGCAGATAATCGGAAGATATTCATTGTAGGAATACAAAGGTCGAAAGTCGAGCCTACACTCTGAAAGAGGTGTCAGAAGGTTGAAGGCGAGTATTTGGAAAGTAAAAAGTCGCAACATTACTGCTGGGCGAGCAGCTCTGAATAATAGAGACACAACAACGTTTCAAAAAGTTCTCATTTCACGTAATAAAATAATTTTAAAAGTACAAAAGCCACTGTTGTAGATCTTAGCCACAAATAAAAGTTCTAACGGGCAACTGGATTGTTCAAACTTACTTCTAAAAATAATAGAAGTTAATTAGTTAAAAACTGATGCGTATCACTCCATCAACCACCTTCATTAAAAGCAAAAAAAAAAAAAAAGAATTCTGCGCACATTGGCATTTACAAAGAATGATGCACAGGGGCAAACACCCAAAAAACTTTAAAACAGCTAAAGAACCGTAAAAATAGGCTTTTTCCTCACTTCAATCCAATTTATCGACCATGCCGCGTCATAAAGTAAAACTATTAAGGCGGGGAAAGATGCATCTACAAGTTAACGATTTTGGAAGAAAAAAAATGAAAACTTATAGTAATACAGCTATCCTCTCTCGAAAGCAGAAATGAGTGAGTTTAAACTCTCCTACGTTGTCTCCCAGAGAACTTTCTCTCGCAGCAAAACGCGGAATCATACGGATGACACCCGTAAAGTTGATAATATCTCACAAGAGAGACGGAATTGAGCAAATCTTTTATCATTTAATACAAAAAGAACAAAAGATCAAAAAGCTCATCCTACTGGGAAACCGGTACTCCCTCA